TGCATTCCGGTGGCGCGTCTACTGCGGCTGCCTTTGGTATCCCAGATCGATTGCTCCAAAGACAGGGTGGCTGGCGGACTGCTAGTGCCAAGAATAACTACATTGATGAATCTTTGGACTCACTTCTGCTAGTGACCAAGGCGATGCAGTCTTAAGAACAGGCTAATGCACTTACTTATTTTGCTCTATCGTTGTTTGTTGCGGTGGTTGGCTGCAGCAGCTCCCAGCTTTGTGTGAGAAGTATGATTTTCTGCTGGCTGAGGAAGGAAAGAAGCAGAAAATGTTTTCTCACACATTGCTGGGCGCCGGCCCGATTAATATAATCGGGCAGTGCAGGTTGGGAAGCACATTTTGTTGTTGCTTCCGCCATTGCTTGACCTGTTCCCACCCGCCCACCCTAGCATGTTTTTTGGGGTGCTTAGTTAATACATAGTTTTCTTTAAACCTGGTTCAGGAACTAGTGTTTTCTAGGTCAATAATTTTGTTAGTTGTTTCTTCTTGTAATCATATGTAATATTTCCGGCTGTGTTGGCTAATAAATGTCAAGCTTGCGGCGGTTGGCTGCAGCAGCTCCCAGCTTTGTGTGAGAAGTTAAAATACTAAATGTTTAAAATACTAAAAGTTCTAAAATTCTAAAAATCCCTTTATCGCTTCCTTGCATATATTAAACCATCATCAGCAAACTGTCAGGTTGAGCTCGGTTTTCTGTGCTGCCGAATACTACAAGACCAGTCCTTTGTGGCATAATTATTCTGGGAAGCAATAAAAACTCTTATCGCTGTGGCAATAAGTTCCTTTCGACACTCATTATATTAATTGGTGTTTGCTAGTTTCGTTGTTAGACCTCTTCAGAACCCGCCATTTTGTTTCTCGAAACTCAGAAACAAAATGGTGGGTTCTGAAGAGGTATAACGACGAAACTAGTAAACGCCAATTAATATAACAGTGTCGAAAGGGATTTTTAGAAATTTAGAACTTTTAGTATTTTAAACATTTAGTATTTTAACATTTCATTACGTTTTTAAGTGATGCGCTCAAAGTAACGTATTATTGACAAATCACTCGCAGTACGTTTCATAGTGCATTTGTAATGCCTAATGGCGCAATAAGGATAAAAATACCACTGTTCGTTTCAGCGTTAGAAATTGTACTAATTATGGATGTCAAATGTATTACTAAACAACAGTGTTCTAATGATTTATGGGCTTTGTCTTTGAAAGCCAAGTGAAATTGTATTGTTGCCAATCGCTCAAAATTATTAAACTAATTATAAAATATAATGCAGTACGTTTGATCCTTGATAACTTTGATATCATTGGTTTTCTCTTTTTCGGCCGTATACCACTTCGTCTCACTTCTTGCTTCATTTTGATAGTATTTTGAGCCCAAAAGCACCAAAATATTTTATTTTGAACGTTTTAAAGCGCAGTTTAATCCTAGTTACTGGCGGCTGACAGTTTTGAAGAAGAATGTAGCGTACTAAATATAACTTTACTTGTAGGGCCTATCACATTTTAGTACTGTGTTATTAAGCCTTTCGCGCTTGTATTCGACTTTTCCGCTTAGCTCAGGGAAAACCCGAAATTCATTGAAAGAGCTGTGTACTGTATGTATCATGTACATTGTACAGTAATGTGAATAGTTGTATAGCCCCAGCGTAGAGGCTATGCACTCCGTAGAGCATCTTGTTTAATCTAGTCTCAGTGAGTGCTAACACATCTGGTTTAGAATCAAGTATATAAATTAGTTCATTTAACAATGTTAGATTTTTAGGTAGACTGTGTATATTACAGTGAAATTATCATGTTAAAGTCTACACTTCCTGTGAATTTGGTGCTTTCTTCACAAAGTGCATGATTTTCTCAAATATCTGTGCATATCCACTGGACTAATTGGTCTATTCAAAAATGTATTAATTCCTTTGAAGTATAATTTATTCAAACAACTCTAGTGCGAGAGTTGCAAAACCGGTTCAAATTTCCTCCAGGTAAAATTTAAAGTTTTCAAACCTTCCTCAAAATAAATTAAATAGATATGGCTTCATCAAATAGCAATACACTAGAATATATAAACTTAACTGATTCTGAAAGCATAACACACAGTACATGATTCTAATATATAGACTTGCCATAATAGATTTATACTTTGGACAAATTGGACAGTCCTTACCTACTACGTCTACATCCTATATCATATATTGAATATAAAATAATACTAAAAAATGATATTACTGTACTTGTGGTTTTGAAAGGCATTTGAGAGTGTTTAGGTCTTCAGAAGTGTGACCCAATCGCCCAGTTTCACAATCAGCGAGGCAGCGAATGCTTTCACTTGTTTTCGAAGCAAAGTGCTAAATTTAAATCAAGCAGTATAGTGCCTAGCTCCTGCGCAGACATTGTTAGTGGCCGAGGCCTCACCTAACATCTGCTCACATTCGCTATACATTCGACTTCCTGGCAATTAACCAATCACAATCATCTACACGATAATTGGAAGGTCGGCCTTCAATGACCTTCACACGCATGGGTATATTATCAACAGGTCTTTAGTATTTTTAAATTTGAAAGTTTTAACACTGCGCATCAGCTTTTCAGTCTATTATAAACGAAAAGGATGTTTTCGTAAATCTCACAACTGACACAGGAAATCACTTATTTATCACGCTGTTGCCGAAGCTATTTGATGTAATATTCGGATTTAAATATTTAAACAAATTGTCAACGTACATTGTAAACAGGTACTAAATCGTGGTTTCGCCATTGATAAATTCAATACGAGATCAAGTAAAAAAACTACACGATCTAGGAGTCAGTGCTGTGTCATTATTAAGTTGAATCGAGAGCGATAAAGAAGCAAAAGCATTGGAAAAAGGGAAATATTCTGACGGCTGTATTTTATATGGCACAGCAGAGTCATTGTTGAAGACAAAGTGCATGGCTGAACGGTTTGTGCTTTGGCTATTGATGCATGAAGCTCATTTCAGTATGTATTATAATAAATCCTAAACATGTGTTCGCATTTGTAATTCTCAAAGCCACAGGAATCGATCGGCTTTGACCATTTTAATAGTCCTTATTTTATATTGTCTTGAATTTTTCTTTTTATGCATAGCAAGTTTGAGCCATTCCAGTTAATATACATACCCGAACCCTCTGATGTAAACCCTTCATAATTGAAAGGCTCATATAAACTTGCATGCTTGTACTACATGTAATAGATAATAAGCAGTGCCATAAAATTTTTTCGCATATCACAAATCTCTCCGTTTATCAAAGAAATTTTTCTATAATTCAGAAAATTCTTGGATTTTCTGAGATTTTTGTAAATATACCTTATTTTTTCCCAAATTGACAGTTATTATTGTAAATTAACTTTCTCTGGTCCTAGGAATTACCTGAATTTGCATTGATTTACCTGAATTTCTTCTGCAAATCTACCTGAATTTACCTGAAATTGCTCATATGAGCAATTGCTCAATACGAGGCAATGTATAAAAAGACAACATTATATGCCGTGAGATATTATAGTATCCCACGCTGGATTGCGAAATCATGAATTTGAGTGAAATACCGTAAAAAATCATGTGGTACAAATGCTGTTTTTTCATTGGACAATTTGAATTTGAGGTATAATATATATAATTATTACAATGTTTAGTTGCTACAGCATTGATGGTTTATATTATTAAATAAAAAAATAATTCCTAACATTTAATATTTCTGTGAGTTCTGAAGTGAAGTGTCATAAACCAAAATAAACATATTACAGTACACATTTCTGTCATTTCCAACATATCTTCCTTGAACTAAATGCGAAGTTCCTGTAAAATGCAATGAAATTTCTTTCAAGTTTCTGTTTGTTTGAATTGGCAGTTTAAAATGACACTAAAACCAAAATATAAAATACCTTAACTGTCTTGAAATATTTTTGTTGGGCAGTACATTTATATTGTATAACAAAATATAAAAAATTTTAACACAGCTCGTAAAATACAGTAGTTGGGAATCCAGCAAGTTATTTTATGTGGTCTAAGGCAACTCTGATGCTTGACACTTACACATTTTAATTTTACAGAATATTTTCAGTTATTTGTCTTCTCAGTATTCTCCAATGTCATAGTCATCTGGTATAAGTACTATATCACAATAGTGCCACCACAACTTGTCAGCCTCAGCTGCCTTATTCAACCATGATTTATTAGTTTTACTCTTTTGGTGTTAAAGAAAATTAATATGGCTATTAATAATTCTTTGTTTTATTTTTTTTCAAACAGTCCACTAAAAATACTTTTTAAATCTAGCTGCCGATTGAGAAATATACAGTATAAAAATTTCTAACAGTTAACTTAGATAATTAAATCCGTTAGATAATTAATCGTGTTTAAATTGAGTTGTTGAATATGAAGACAGTCATTATTGCTTTTAATTAATAACCAACATTAAATGGCATAAATTATGGAACTAATTAGCAGTTATGTGCTGGTGATGTGTGTTTGTAGGCTGTAGACAACCCTATCCCCAAATATTGTGTGCACAACAAAAGGATGGAAGGTAAAAGTCAATATGCTATTCAACATGCGCGGTAGATAAACTATTTTGTTTATCTATTTAAAGGTCTTATCCACCATTGAAAAATGCCAGCGGATTCCAGCTCCTTCTCTCAAAGGAGACATCCAGAAAACAACTGCATGTTGTAAGCCATGGCAGCTGCGATGCTGAGTAGCTCAGATGCTTTGGGACTGGTCGCATATATGTGTGACCTCTGGAGATAAGCATACCCTTGGCAGTCGGTGTCGACACGTCTCTGCAGCACGAAGAATGTTTGACCTGTCATCTGTCAATTCCTGTGAGCGAAATGCGACATTGTGAAGATTCTCATGTAAGTTACAGTATAGACTGCCATTATAGAAAGTGAAGCACAACTAAGAATAAGTTACTGAATGCTGGGAACGTTAAATTCCATACCATAAGTTGCTAAATTATTTATCAACATATACCAAAATGTATGGTTCAAACAGCGTTGATGAACAAGATTCAAATGAGGAAAATTACACTGTGCATGACAGGTAGGTTTCGTTGGTAAAAATAATATGCCCTTATACATTGCCTTGTATTAGCTTTGACCAGCGTGCATGTATACCCCACAACCGTTTCATGAGGGATCTATGCTCAGACAAAACTTATGACAACTTTCCCACTGTAAACCGTATATTAAATGAGGAGTTGACGGATGTTCAATGCACAATTGAAGAAGTCGAAAGACACTTAAAAACGTTAAATGTTTGTAAAGCCTCTGGACCGGACAATATCCCACCGCGAATATTAAAAGAATGCGCCTTTCAACTAGCACCATCATTAGCGAACATGTTTAATAAATCCTTTTCCTCGGGTATGCTCCCCCAAGACTGGAAACTAGCTAATATTGCTCCAATTCACAAAAAGAATTCGAAATGCAAGAGAGAAAACTACCGACAAATCTCACTAACATCTATTATATTATATCTAAGATAGCAGAAAAGATTGTTCGGGATAGATCAGTTGAATTTTGGCTCAGTCGGAAAGTATTTAATGAAAATCAATTTGGATATCTTAAGAACAAGTCTACGTTATCCCAATTATTGTTATGCTACAACGACTGGGCAAAGACTAGAAACGATACAAAAGCAACCGATGTTGTTTTTATGGACTTCAGTAAAGCGTTTGACAGCGTGCCACACGAACGTCTGCTGTATAAGTTGGAACAGCATGGTATTGGAGGGGCTTTACTGAAATGGTTTGGAAACTTTCTTACAAATCGTCAACAACGAGTAGTAGTTCGGGGATCGTATTCGAAATGGACCAATGTAAAATCAGGGGTACCACAGGGAACAATTTTAGGACCTATTCTGTTTTTAATTTATATCAACGATCTCCCGAATGAAATTGTAAGTCACGTCAAGCTGTTTGCAGATGATACAAAAGTGTACCGAAAGCTATCGGACCCAGAGAACGACGGGGAAATACTTCAGTCAGACTTGAACCGTATGAGCGAGTGGACAAATTTGTGGCAATTGAGCTTCAATCTTGATAAGTGCGAAGTTATGCGGATAACTCATCATAAAGATAAATCAATACCTGAATACTACCTGTCTGACAAGAAACTAAAAGTGGTGAACGAATTTAAAGATCTAGGCGTAATTGTATCTAGTGATCTATCATGGAGTAATCAGGTTGCCTCGACAGTTAAGAAAGCTAACCGCATTGTTGGTTTAATTAAACGGACTGTCGGTTTTTCAAGTACGAGCATTTTTTCCACATTATATAAATCCTTGGTGAGACCTGTCTTGGAATACGCAGCGCCAGTTTGGTCGCCATATCTGGTTAAAGACGTGAAAGCCCTAGAACGTGTTCAAAGAAGAGCATCGAGAATTGCTCTGAAACAGAAACGAGGCGAAATGCCATACAACGAACGTTGTAAATTGCTAAAATGGGACACACTAGAAAAACGTAGAAAGTTTCTTTCCCTAGTAGAGTGCTACAAGATAGTATTTGAACTTAATGGCGGCATAATATTCAGCGAAGTTTTAGAGTATAGACACTCCAAGAGGACAAGATCTAACCACCAATACACCTTATATCCTAAACTACCCAAAATTAATTGTTACAAATACTCACTATTTGTAAGGATTATCAGTGACTGGAACAGTTTACCATGCTCGGTTGTAGAAGTAAATAACATTAGAGAATTTAAAAGAGAACTGAAGTCGAACAATGGACATGTACTTGTAATTTAACATTTAGGTATTTTAACTTAGTAATAGGTAAAGGTGATCTTTATATAGGGTTAACCTCCAGATCTCCTGCAAGGGCCTCAATATTATTGTAGGTACTTTGAATAAATTATTGATTATATGCGCATTAATTTATTGTGTTACACGAGAAATGAAGTGAAGGGTGTACAGTTGGAATATTTCCCTTCAATACATAATCAAGTTTTCTTAACCTGCAGTGTCATTTTTCACTTACTATTTACTAACAGAGTATTTCCACTTGAACTAGTGCAACAAGGTATCATTGGTAATGTAAGACATGCAGAATATTAAGAAGATAGTTAGTATGGGCATATTTATTATTCTTACCATGCAATTAATTTTGCAAATTTGTTTATGTCATTCGAAGATACTAGCATATTTTTTTGCCGATTAAAATTTCTATTAATATTATCAAGAGACATATTGATAGAGAAAACTTATATTTGATGTTCGTTGAGTTGTTTATTGCTGCTATTATTTATCGCTGTTAGATGACTTCATTATGTTATTTAGTCATCTTGATATGGATGAGGGAGATATCACGGTGGCGCCCATGGAACGGTCATCCGACCTGAACCAACAGGATGAAAACAGTTCTGCTGAAGTTGTTCCCGTCAACCTCCGCAACTGATGTTTTTGAAGCAAATGAGCAACCTGAGGTCATAATAATTGATCAACCTACAGTTGTTGATGATAAGAACCATGATTTTAGAAGGGAATATATTATTAAATGTAAAGGGCCTTTGTTAATGGTAATTTCATGCAAAAACACTTTGTTTTGACTAAATAGGCAATTCCAGCTTTTAGTTTATGCGTGCAGGGGACGATGGGAAGTAAGGTATCACATTGGTGATTATGCTGAAAAAATAAAAATGGTGGCCGTGTAAACACGGACTGATAGCTTATACTTGTAAATAATGAAATATTTTGGTTGTTTCGGCAGTTTTTAGTGAAATTTTTCAGCATGATCAGCAATATGATACTTTACTTCCCATCGGTGACCCCCTGCAGGCATAAACTAAAAGCTGGAATTGCCAATTAATCTGATTCATTTATTTTTGTCACGTGATTGGTTTCATATTCACTGATATAAAATCTTTTAATTCTCAGCTGTCTTGCCCCCACAACTAAATCAATGCCTTTTTCAGAGGTGATTGTAATGATCCAGTCACGATACTCCGAGTATTCTCAAGGAACTAACAAGCCATTTCACGACGAGCCATTTCACAACAAGCTATTTCACAACGAGCCATTCCACAACAAGCCATTTAAAAACAAGCTATTTAACAACAAGCCATTTAACAACAAGCTATTTAACAACGAGCCATTTCACAACAAAGCTATTTAACAACAAGCTATTTAACAACGAGCCACTCCACAACGAACCATTTAACAACGAGCTATTTAAGAACGAGCTATTTAACAAGCTATTTGACAACGAACTATTTAACACTGACAAGGTATTTAACAACGAGCTTTTGCACACAGCAAGCTATTTCACACAGACAAGCTATTTAACACTGACTATTTTGGAACGAGCTAGTTCATGCGAACAAGTCGTTTCGCATTTCTAGCTGTTCCATTTGACGACACGGACGTAAGCCATTTGAAAATTCATTGAACTGCGCCACAATTCGTTGAGCCATTTCGCATTTTATTGAAACAATGTGGAATACGTTGATCCATTGAGCTATGCGTTATCAATCCATTCGAAATTAGGTTGAACCATTGATGTTTTATACATGTCATTTCAGTCAGAACTTCTCAGACCTGGGAATAGAATTGGCTACTGTCATATGCAACAGCGTTTGCAGATCAAACATGACCTGCTAGTTAAGAGGTAAGCTTGTTTTTAATTTATTAAGCTTTGTTTTTATTTAGTAAGCTTTGTTTTTATTTCCCTTGATGATTGTTTCCTAGCATTAGACAGTGTACTAAAGTGGGGTGTACTTGGTTGCATTGCAAGCTCAATGGGTTAATTGAAAATCTACCTATAGGTGGTGTGCAAGTTATGTCACTGTCACCATGTTGGATGACATTGACAAAGGATTTTGCTTGTTTGTAATGCAAATTTCATCCAACATGGGGAAAATCTCTTTGTCCTTTGAGTCCCATGGGAGCAGTTGAACATCGCCCATATATGTATGTCTAGTGTTAACCAAATTAACATTTTACAGCTTCTAACTCACTAACTGGCAAGACTTTTCTGCTGAGAAGTAAAATTGTCTAGGGTTACACAGAGTAATTAAATGCAAAAGTGAGGCAAATGGAGGTGCTGTGCATGTTAATGGGTTAAATATATTTATACTATATTTATCAATATATAATTGAGGGATTATGTGTATCAGACAGTGATGTATTTGGACCCGGATGCAGTATGCTTGAGAAGACAGAGGAGAGACTATGTTTCTCCTATGTTTCTATGCCAAAGGAGAGACTATGTTTCTGTGGTGAGTATCCAATAGTTTTGAAATCATAAAGAGCTGTGTCAATTTGCAAGCCCATTTATATTGGTGCATTGCTGCTTAATGGGTAATGTAATATTATTTCTCTTCATTAAGGGTAGTAATTGGCTGTGGCATATTGATGACCAATGAAAGCTAAAGCCATATGGTTTCTGCATTCATGGAGCAATTGATGGATTTTCAAGAAAAATTCTGTGGTGCCACATTGATCATGCCAACAATGACCCCTGGTATATAGCCAAATATTTCTTTGACCTTGTTACGTCCGAAAGAGGTAAACGTTTTGATGCACAAGTTGTTCTATGAAACAATATGTAATTTGACACCAATACATTCTGTGCATATTTTCTTTTAGTTATACCAACAATGACAAGATCAGATCCTGGTACTGAAAATGGTCTCTTGGCAACTTGTCAGACTTATCTAAAGCATAACTGCCATGATAATGTAGCTGTGGAAAAAAGCCATGTATATGGAAGCTCTCTCCAAAACCGGGTGACCTAGTGTAATATAAAAAGTCACATATAGGCATTGACAATTATCCTTCTACTTGCATGTGCTGATTTGAATTGTTTACTAAGATAATTGAAAGGTTTTGGAGATGTCAACGGGATCACCACTCTGGTTTTTGGGAGACTGAGTTTCAGGTACTGTATCACAAGTTCTTAATTAAGAGACACATGCTTATTTTCTGGATGTTTTATAACTGTTTGGATGTGCCAGACTTAAAAGCACGATTTTCAGAATTCTCTGGGAAGGAACATCCTCTAGAAAGTTCTGAATTTTTTTTTGATATTTACTAAGGCACCTAATGACTTACTCTAAAATATCACTTTACATTGTACATCACATCCACATGTGATTACATCCGCAGTGAGTGTCTTGAGCTTCAAAAATGGGGTCTGCATGATGGAAATCGTAATGTAAACCAGCATGGCTGGGTGCCATCTGAACACCTTTTTTTGTATAGGATCTGGAACAGCAAGGTCTGTTGGTTCGAGATTACAAGCTGCACGGGTGAATATTTTTATGGTATTACATGTATATCAGAGAACCAAATACAGTAGTAAAAAACATTCTTAGTGAAATGTGGAAGACAAGATTCCCTTATTTACTGTGTTCTGTAATTGTTACAAAGGACTCAATATTTTTAATATTTTATAAATGTAGTTAAGTGTAGCTAGTGAAACATACAAAGTCGGCTCTCTTAGATCAACTACCTGAAAAATAGCAATCAATAACCAACTTGTTGGTAATGGATGATTCAGTAAATTATTTATCCTTAACACTATTGTGACTATGTTTATCCCATTGAAAAAGTGCTCATGGTGGGACCCTCATTGGCTTCATCTAAAAAAGATGGTATGAAGTTATTTTTCACGAACTAACATGTAACAAATGATCTTTTTTAATGAATTGTGGGTATACTATTAGTAATTCTGCAGGAAGATTGTGATACATCTGACATTGAACATGCAGGAGGTTGTAATACTGTTATAATTTCCATGTGCACATACCTGGCAAGCTTACACATGCTGTTGCAATTGTGGTTGACTTTAAAACTTTTGACAGCTTCATGTCCAACATTTCCTATACCATAATACCTGAATAAAATATCAGACCATCAGTCATAGTTCCTCTGTAGGAAGCTAATTTTTAATCTTACCCACAAGCAGTGTACAGTTATTATTGCTGCCTCGTAGAGG